CTCAGGTTCCTTCGAGGAGGCTCAAGTCAAGGCAGCGCATGGGCCCATCTCCCAATGCTCAGGCTCAACTTCATGTCACGATGATTGCCATGCACTACGTTGTACTTTCTCATTTTTCTTCACTACCAACATGTTCTTTTTTCCCCTGCAGTGTTGTAACACTTAGCTTTAGTCAATCTTTCCTGCAATGAAATTGAGACTTCGTCCCAAACATCAGTCTAAACAGCATCATGTATGTTGCGCTTAGGCCATGCTAAGGCTCAAGTACAAAAGCTTAGGCACTTCGCTTATGAAACCACATGCATCATACGTCTCCGCGATCATGAACAGAGGACCCATCAGGGCAACAAATAGTCCCGGAATGTCCAATTATTTGTCTCTCGAGCAAAGAGATGGTCTAACTTGCAGCATAACATGGAGATGCAGTAACATGACTGTGATCCTTACTTTTATGCACAGATCAGCCTGCACCACAAAAGACGAGCAAACAAAGAACATACGACCTATCAACAAGAAACCGCCTGACACTGACCTGTCATGTCCAGGACTTCGAATACAGGGGATATCGCGTCCAGAAGGGCACGTATATCTTTTACAATCAATGGTGAAACAGTTCACGCCGCCGAACTGCGGCAAATTGGACGTTCTCTTGAAATAGACACTCAAACGGGGGACGATGCTTTGACGGGCATTCGCCCTAAATTTCAATTAGGATTACTTATACGTGATTTACCATTATTATAATTAATGAAAAAAAACTTTAACGCCGCTTTCCTCCCATTCCGGTAAGCGCAGCAAGTTCTGTCTGGCATCAGACAATGTGTTCCAATCAAGGCTGGATGTGAAGTTGGCTTGGTAAGTTGCCAGAAGGGCAAGCCGAGTTGAGCAACGAGAGAAGCGCCTTGACCGTATGGAGTGCATAGAGTGTGAAGTGAAATGTAACTCACTACCGAACATCTCTATCTAGTCTAAGCTGATCAAGATCGTCGTTCCAATCTAAAGAAGAAGCGCGTGGTGATGGAGAGTGGCTATGTTGACGATGTGCAGGGTTCAAAGGACAACGGTCAGATATCTTTTTCTGGTCTGCCGACATCTGCGTCTTAGAGAAAGCTATGCTACCTACGCTACGAGCACTTCCAGTCACATCCTTTCCGCGATCACTGACGTGTCTGCAAGTCGGCAACACCTCACGTTTCCTACCTCTCGCCACCCGACTTCACCTCACCATCCCAACCCGACACTATACTTCTAAAACGAAGTCCTCCAAACACAAGCTACCGAAGTCGGCGCCTTCGGGTTCTGTCGAGTCGGATGGCACACCCGTAACGGTCGTTATGTCCCGGCATAAGCATCACGCGGGAGAGGTCGTGGACGAGATTGCGCCCGGACATCCATCCGCCGAGCAGGACCCGGTCGCGTTTGAGCTGGGGAAGGTGGAAACAAAGATGAAAGGAGTTGTGGACTGGTATAGACGGGAGGTGGGAGGCTTGGAGACGAGAGGAAGTGGGAGAGTCACGCCGTCCTTATTAGATGGTGTGAGGGTAACCGTGTCGAGTGGCCGAACATCAAAGCTCGATGAGATCGCAACGATCGGTGTGAGGGAAGGGAATATTCTGGTCATCACCGTATTCGACGAAAGCGTGCGTTAATGCGTTATAACAATGGGTCGTTGATTTGTACTGATATATCTGTTCAGGACATGAAGGGAGTCAAAACGGCACTACAGTCCGACCGATACTCCTTCGTGCCACAAACCGTCGACCAACGGACACTCCGCATTCCCATTCCCAGGTACATCTCTGTCGACTATCTCCCACGTATATACTGACCTCTTCTCCCAGGCCGACTGCCGAAACGCGTCAGGAGCTGGCGAAGGCTGCCGCTCGCCTGGCAGAAGACGCGCGGATCAAAATACGTACTGCGCGAGAGTCAGGCATGAAGGCTTTCAAAGCAGAAGGGATTACAGACAAGAGGGATCCGAGTCACGTAAAGGTGAGAGCTTTTGTGCTTCTTCTACCGTTATGAGATGTAATGATGGTTTTACAGTGCCAGAAATTGACAGACGACCACATCGCAGAAGTGGACAAGCTTCTGCAAACCGCGAAGCAAACGTTGGGATAGATGATGGATGGACTAGCATTGCTTGTAGCTAATAGAAGTGCATCATTTCATTTCGAGTTCCAAGATACTACCCCTCGGCTCCTGACGGGAAAGTCGGAGAAACTCCGGAGGTAATTTTCGGGTGAGGAGGAGCGTCAGAAAGCCCCAAAAAACCGGCGCGTCTCAGGGTCTCTGGAATTTTGGCCCAAGCCAAGTCAACCTCGTCGTATAACTATCCACATGCTCGAAACACTGTAGACCGACCAATCATTGGTGCTGATTCACTCGTGGGTCTCGTCAAGGCTGATCCACTGCGGCTGCCAACTCAATCCACGATCGTATGACGAGTATGCACTGCAATATGGGCTCGGGGCGAGCGTTCGTGCGGCGAGTGGCACATCCTGTTGTGCGGAACCAGGCGCGACTTGCCTCGACCGCCCAAGGCCAAGCTATCAAGAAGTTCATCAACCATGGAGACGATACTCCCGGTCTGTCATGTAAAGACTACTCAAAAACACTCCACCTTCCTCGACCCCCCATTCCACCTTACGCCAAGGTGACGGAGATAGCAGAAGCGTATAGTGAACGGACGACGGCAGCGTTGTATAGACAGCAGGTGAGTTGATGATCATCCGGCGTGTTGTATATGACTAACGGAAGACGAGGGAAGTGGGAGGAGAGGAAAGACAAGGAATTTTTCATATTGCATGATGGGCCACCGTACGCTAATGGACATCTCCATATTGGTTCGTCAAGCTCCTTTGACCGCGGAGAAAGGAGCTGATAGGCCGCACCAGGACATGCGGTTAATAAGATCCTTAAGGATATCATTAACCGATTTCAGTTGTTGCAGGGAAAGCGCGTTCAGTGAATTGCATTCCTTGTATTCTGCATATATATGCTGACACTGTCTCATAGCTACTCCGCCGGCTGGGATTGCCACGGCCTGCCAATCGAGAACAAAGCGCTCGTTGGTCTAGATCCCTCTGCAAGTCCGACCAAAATTCGGCAAGTGTCGCGTCATTATGCCTCAGTTTCTGTAAATATCCAGCGTCGGGAGTTCGAGCAGATGAAGATTTTGGCCGACTTCAGCGATCCTTGGACGTACAGAACGTACGATAAGGAGTATGAGATCAGGCAGTTAAGGGTGTTTCAGCAGATGGTCAAGAAGGGTGCGTCGCACAATTTGAAGGGTTGTACAGAGCTGAATGATTGGTTAGGCCTGATTGTCCGCCGCTATCGCCCTATTTGGTGGTCCCCGGCCTCAGGCACCGCACTCGCAGAGGGAGAGCTGGTGTACGACGACTCTCACAAGTCGAAGTCGGTGTATGTTAAATTTCCTATCAAGAGGGAGGACATGTCTCCGGAGCTCCGGAAAGGATTCGATAGTACATTGCTTGAGGATCTGAATTTTCTTGTATGGACCACTACTCCTTGGACGCTCCCATCAAACATGGTGCTACCTCTTCCCTCCTATCCCTTGACTGCCGCTGATTGATCATATGCAGGCAGTAGCAATAAACGAAGAAATCGATTACGTGATCGCGCGTGGTGAGCATAACATCATCATCGCAGCAGACGCAGTGGAGCCGCTCCCAGACAAAATGGGTAGTTACTTCGTGCTGCACAAGATTCGAGGCATGAGCTCTCCCTTCTACATTGGAATATCTGCCCTTATCAAGCAAGTCTAGGTTCTGACATCTTAGGAACAAAATACCATCATTACTACCAGAAGCCTGACGCCCCGCCGAATCCTGTGTTCTCAGCTCGGTGGGTGAAAGCGGATTCCGGCACTGGCGTGGTGCATTGCGCACCCGGACATGGTGCCGATGATTACTTTACGATGACATCCGCTGGTTTACTAGAAGATCACCCTCTCGTTTCACCTGTCGATGGGAAAGGAGAGTACACGGAAGATATCCTCGGCCACGTGCCACATTCAAGACTCGGTGGTTCTCTCATCGGCAGATCCGTACAAGACAAAGGGAACGAAGAGGTGCTCAGGCAGCTCAGAGAAGCGGGGCGCAGTATCCATGTCAAACAGATCAAACATAAATATCCTTATGATTGGAAGACGAAAACTCCGGTCATCACGCGCGCGACGAGTCAATGGTTTGCGAGCATCGCTGATGTGAAAGAAAAGGCGCTGAAAGTGCTTGAGAATGTAAAGTTTCACCCTGAGGCCGGTATGTGATGCCACGCTTTGGTTTATTCTCCATGCTCACTTACACACAGGCCGTGCCCGGCTGGAATCGTTCATTCGTGAGCGATCTGAATGGTGCATTTCGCGGCAACGCAATTGGGGTGTACCCATCCCAGCTCTCCACGACATTGCCACGGATGAAGCCTATCTCAGTGCGGAGTCACTCGATCATATCATACCTGTGTTGGAGAAGCATGGCATAGATTATTGGTGGGAAGGTCCAGTAGAAGATTTCATTCCTCCGCACCTTCAAGGCAAGAATCTGCGCAAAGGCACCGATACGATGGACGTTTGGTTCGACAGCGGATCCAGCTGGTCTCTCCTCGGGAACCTTCACGGAGAGAAGCAAGAAGGTGGGCCGAGGATTTCCGACGTATGTTTGGAAGGAAGTGACCAACATCGAGGCTGGTTCCAGAGCCTGCTGTTGACTAGGATCATTGCTGCTGCTGAGGGCGAGGAGACTGCACCTTACAAGACGGTCATTACGCATGGGTTCGTTTTGGATGAACACGGGCGCAAGATGAGCAAGAGTGACGGAAACGTCATCAGTCCACTCGCAGTGATTAATGGTACCGAGGTATGATTGTAGACTCTTTGATTACGTCAGTGCTTAGAAGACAGCAGAAATCGAAGCTTCCGGTATATGGAGCAGACGTCTTACGTCTCTGGACAGCATCTGCCGACTATACCGACGACATGGCAATAGGGCAGAACATCCTCAAACAATCGGCTGAATCATATAGAAAGTTGCGGAACAGCGCTCGTTTCATGTTAGGCGTGTTGGCGATCCCTAATAAGGGCCCTGTCGATCAACTGCAATCAACGAAGCCTGGGATGGGTCTAGTGAGTGCCATTGTTACGCCGATTAGGCCAGGAGCTCAAGTTTGCAGATCGAGCGCTGGATCATGGATCGCCTATACCAGACTGAACGAACCTGCCGCGAGGCTTATGAACGATATCAATTCCACCGCGTGGTACACGCCTTGACGGACTTCTCGACAATAAGCCTTTCAGCACAGTATTTCAGTTTCAGGAAAGACGCTATCTATTGCGATGCGCAGGACCAGACTCGTGCAGCGATTGTCACTGTCATGAAGAACCTCCTGCATGTTTATAAGGGTCTTCTTGCGCCGATCCTCCCCCTGGTCGCCGAGGAAATCCATGAAGCCGAACAGAAAATCATCAGAGCATCGCAAGTTTCAAGGGCGGAGGAGTTGACCCTGGAAAAACGACTGAACAAGGAATCGGTGTTCATGCAGCCTTGGCCTGTTGTGGTGAGTCAAACCGTTCTGTAGCTTGCGACAGTACTCATGAGGGGATGAATAGGACTCTGCGTGGGAAGATACCGAAGCACGCGAAACAATGGAGATCCTTCTCGCTATTCGCTCAAGTGTTCTGGGTCTGCTGGAGAAGGCAAGAGCGGGGAAGGGGTTAGGGAGCTCCGATGAAGCGGTCGTGTACCTCGCCGACGCATCCTCAGGCGCAGCGCCGCACCATGTGTTCCAACTGCTGCAGACGCATGAGCCCCTCCTCAGCACGGTCTTTGGAACTTCGTATGCCTGGACAACTTCTCAAATACCTAACAACACTGACCAGAACGCTTGGGAATTTACGGACAATATCGAAATAAGTCAATGTCCATTGACCATCACAGTCAGGGGATCGCCCAAAACAAAATGCCCGAGATGCTGGAAGTGGACGAAGCCCTCGAAGGACGCGCTATGTGAACGGTGCACTAAAGCATTGATGTAGACAAAGTTATTTAAAATTCCAGGGATAATGGAACACACTTGTATATTAGATCGCACTGTACCAATGATAATTAGCCCGAACGAGGCGTTCGGACAATTCTTGGTCCCTGTGAGTTATCGCCGAAAGGATCATTGGCATTTTCTTCCATTACGAACGCGAAGCTTTTCGACAACGATTGCGCGTGCGCAGAGACTGCTGTATGCGCATTGTTGCCCTCCGTCACACGATCGCACGATACTATTCTTCGGCGTTATCAGCCTGCCCAACTCCACGCTCCTGGTTATCGTCAAGTGTTGCCAGCCTGACTCGATCAACGCGCGCCACCCAACTTTTTCGCGCGGCATTTCACAGCTTTGTTGAGCAAGGAACACATAACATCGAGTCAGGAGGTATTCACGCGTTCATCTTCATCTAATACTTTCATTGACACATTGTATGTAGAGCTAGACTTGTATAGATCACGCAGAAACTACTCAACTTCGCCCTCTATAACAACAACAATGGCACAGTCCATCCTATCCCGCGCCCATGCTCATTCTCCCTCCACTTCTCCGGCAACATGGCGCGAAGCACTCGAGGCAACGAAGGGAGTCCCCGATTCATTCGAGCTGCTGAAAGTTCTTGTCTTCAAGCCTCGCACCGCAAAGAATGTCGCCCCGGTCCCCGTCATCGTGATCGCCAGAGAAGAGACGGAGACGAACAGCACTGCATTGGGAAAGAAGCTGAATCTGAAGGAGATGAGACTGGCTACAGAGGATTTGCTGGTGGAGGTCTTTGGCGTCAATAAGGACGGAAGTGCGTGTGTCTTCATTTACTTCATCAACACATATTGACTGTCCTCGCATCATGTAGTCTCCCCGTTGTCCTTGACCGCCGAGAACTTCCCGAAAGTGCTGACAGTGCTTGATGGCTCGCTTGCATCTGCAGCAGGTCCATTTGCAGTTCACGCCAACTCCGACAAGGAAACGGTCTTCCTGCACGGGCAGGAAATCGTCGGCTATCTCCGATCGTTGGAGGTCACTGACACCAAGATTACCGAAGTCGACTTTGTTGCGCTGAAGGCCGACGCGACTGCAAACGCGCCGTTAAAGGACGCTATGTGAGCTCACCGTCATTTGTTGCTTTGTGTCAATATTTGATTATGGTATCATAGACCCGCACAAGCAAAAACTGCCACCACGAGCAGGAAGGAAGATGCCAAGATTGAAGGTGCTGTGCAGATTGCCGTAGGCATTCAAAAGGAGCTCGACTTCCCGGGTTGGTACACAAATGTCCGAATATATTGTCAATTCTTTAGTGCTGCTGTGACTAACTGATGGAAACAGGTTCTCATAAAGTCTGACATGCTCGACTACTACTCTGTCAGTGGTTGTTATATCCTCAAGCCCTGGTCCTACTCCATCTGGGAAGCGATTCAACAATGGTTCGATGGCGAAATCAAGGAGATGGGTGTCGAGAATGCATACTTTCCGTTGTTCGTTTCCGCCAAAGTCCTCGAAAAGGAGAAGGACCACGTCGAAGGCTTTGCTCCTGAAGTCGCTTGGGTGACACGTGCGGGCAACACAGAGTTGGAGGAACCTATCGCTATCCGCCCCACCTCGGAGACAGTGATGTATCCGTATTATGCCAAGTGGATCCAGTCCCATCGTGATCTCCCCCTTCGCTTGAACCAGTGGAACTCTGTCGTTCGCTGGGAGTTCAAGAACCCCCAGCCCTTCCTCCGTACTCGCGAGTTCCTCTGGCAAGAAGGCCATACGGCACATTTGACCAAGGAAGGTGCCGGCGAGGAGGTACTTCAGATATTGGAGTTGTACCGGCGTGTATACGAGGAGCTGCTTGCCGTCCCCGTCATCCCTGGTATCAAGTCTGAGAAGGAAAAGTTCGCTGGCGGACTTTACACTACCACACTCGAAGGCTTCATCTCAACAACAGGACGTGGTATCCAAGCTGCCACATCCCACTGCCTGGGACAGAACTTCTCGAAGATGTTCAACATCGTGGTCGAAGATCCGAATGCAGGCACCGGCGAGAACGCGTCCAAGATCTTCGTATGGCAGAACTCGTGGGGTCTCTCGACGCGTACGATCGGTGTCATGGTCATGGTGCACGGTGACAACCAGGGCCTCGTACTGCCCCCGCGCGTGGCCAGCATCCAAGTCATCATCGTACCTTGCGGTGTGAACGCCAAGACGAGTGATGAGATGAGGAAACGTGTGCCGGAAGAATGCGACGCGTTGGCAAAAAAATTGAAGAAAGCTGGGATCAAGGCAAAGGCGGATCTTCGCGATGGGTACACGCCTGGTTACAAGTTCAATGACTGGGAGCTGAAGGTATATCTTGTGCCCCCGCGTCTGCATAAATCCTAACAACGGCTTTAATTAGGGTGTTCCTATTCGCCTCGAAATTGGACCCGCAGATCTCGAGAAGCAGCAGACTGTTGCAGTACGCCGCGATACTGGCGCCAAGACCCCCTTGAAGATGGCTACCGCCGTCGAGGATGTCAAGCAACTGCTCGAGACTATCCAGTCTGATATGTACAATAAAGCGAAAGCGACGTATAACTCTCGGGTCAAAATTGTTACGGAATGGAAAGACTTTGTCCCCACTCTCGACAGCAAGTGCGTGGTGATTATGCCGTGGTGCGAGATAGAGGCATGCGAAGACGACATCAAAGAGCGCAGTGGTAGAGTGTACGTTTTCCTTATTTTCATCATTGTCATCTACTTACATCTCTTGTAGTCCGGCTGGAGAGCAGGTCGATGAGCGTGCTCCTTCTGCCGGTGCGAAATCGCTGGCCTTCCCCCTTGATCAAACCAAGTACCCGAAGATCGAGCATGGCAAGACCAAGTGTCCCGCGTGCGGCGAAAACGCGAAGAGGTGGATGCTCTTCGGCAGGTCTTACTAGTCGGTGTTACTCTACTGCATTTTTTTCTGTAATCGGGTATACACCGTCTGAACCTATTGGTTGTTGAGGGATGATAATGAAATATCGAGTTCTCCAACGGGTACCGGCGCGTTCGGGAGGACGGCCAGGGAGGCGTGCGGCGAATTAGCCCCAAATAGGACAAACAAGGACATCGTCCCAGTGATGCAAGGCACTCAAGGACCTTCATCCGAAGCTACTCAGGGCTGACGATCATGCTAGCAGAAACTATGCAGAGGGAAGATTACAAATATTAATATTAAGCCTCCCACTCCTAGAGACTACAACTAGCCTAGTCATCATCCATCCCGTCCCTGTGAGGCTCTAGAGCTTCAGAAGGCTCTCCTTTCCCTGCAAAGCATTCCTGACCGGTGCAGAAGACGGCCCTCCCGCTCCCAGGCAAGCACGGCCCATGCTGGGGAGTAGAGGGCGGCTCAAACATCTGACGCCTATCTAGCTCGTCCACATGCACCCATTCCCTAAAAGGGAGGTACATAGCAGCGTCTCCCCCTCCTCCCTGAAGAGCGGGTTCGTTCCCAAGTCCTCAAGAGGCAGCCCATCTCCTTCCTCAGTTTTCAGCCCCGCGGCATGCTCACTCCCGGGTGCGAAACCTCTCGCTGAGCATCCGGGGGCGTACTGCCATCCCCATCCCCCCAACCCTCTCCTTCCACGCAGAAGCAAACCGTTTCCCTCGGGTATCTTCCATCCCCAGTCTTCTCACAAACTCGGGAGAGACGTACGCTTCCCCCTGGAGCCCACAGGCTCGGGGCCAGTCTTTACATCCTTGGATGACTACCTGCCGTGAGACACGAAGATCGCCGGATTTGGGGATATAGTACCCTAGCAGGGAGGCGAATGTCTGTTTCACTGCGAGCTCGTCGACCTGGGGCTTGAGGGCTTCGAATAGTTCGGGAAGGGTAGCGAGGCGAGCAGCTACGCCCGGGTCGAATTGGCGAATTTCGGCCGGTACTTGGTCCAGAGCTTCTGTAGCCGGAACGGAGGGGGGAAAAGAGGTCAAAGGGCCAGAATCGGATTTCTCTGCGAGGAGAGTGAGGCTCTCCCCCAGCTCGGCAGTGGTGCACGGGTGGAACGGGTGCTGCCCTAGTATCCAACTGAGGAAACCGATTTCCCATTGGAGGAGGACGAGGTCAGCGCGCAGGTCAGCACTAGGCAGGCAGGCGCGGGAAATCCGCTGGGCATAGATCTCTGCTGAGGGGGGGATTCCGAGCTGGATGATCCGTGTGCAGGGGCCGTACTGCTCTGCTTTGAGGGAGATCTCTGAGCTGAGGAGGACGGAGCTGCCGGAGGGGTCTGATACCCAGGTGTGGAGGGCAGCAGTTCGCTCCCCCGGCTGGAGAGTGCTGTGCACTTCGTGGAAGGTCGTTCTACCCCCGGCGGGGAGGGAGGGGGCAAGATGCCGCAGGAAGGTGGTGAAGAGCTGGGCTACCCGGGCTGTGGGGGTGAAGATGACGACTCTGGATCGGCCGGGGTTGGAGAGTTGGTCGTGGGCTATAAGTTTGGTAAGGTGGGGCAGCTGGTCAGACGCGTGCGGGAGAACAGTGTGGTACTGTTTGACGTGCTCCCAGGGTTCGGGGGGCGTGTCCACGCCTTCGCCTTCGTGGATGAAGAGGTGGTTGGGGGAGAGCAGGGTGCGCACGGCTTGTCGCAGCGGGAGGGTGAGCTCCGTGGTGTAGATCCACGTTACCCGAGCTGGGTCAGGCAGATAGGCAGAGACAGCATCCATGTCGTCCCTCAGGCCAAGGGTGAGCATCGTAGCCGTGTCGTCGAATATGAGCTGCAGATGCCAAATCAGCACTGTCTTTCCCAAGACAGGCAAACGACACACCATCTTAGTCTTAGCCATCCCCCTGGCGAACTCGTCTTCATTCTCGAGCAAATCCCTTATCCTCCCCGGAGTACCAACAACAACATCCCTCCTCCGAGTCATAAACTCCCTCATCTGCGTCTTCCTCTCGCCATCCACCAAAAGGCGCAGCTCAAACCCCTCATACCTCTGCACCAACTTCAGTGCGTCGTTCGCAATCTCTGTCGCTCGTTCCCGGGTAGAGGTGAGGATGACGACGCCTACATGACCCCGGGTGAACAGCCTCGCGCGGTCCTCCATTTCGCGGGAAGAGGATAGGCCAGAGTCGTGGAGTTCCGTGCGGGCGAAAGCGTCGATGGCCTTAAGACGGGACTCGACCGCGGGGAGGAGGTAGGAGAACCTCGATCCTTGGCCTTGACCTTTGGATGTCCAGACGAGAAGGTCTTGTCCTCCTTTCTCCTGGTTTCCTTTCCCCTTCCCGCTCCCGCTCCCGCTTGCACCAGCAGACCTCTCCCCCTCTGCACTCCCCCTCCCCTGCCCAGCCCCAAGCACAGCAGCCAACCAAGGCCTCCCGTCGACGGGGTCGGAAGGCAGGGATGACCGCACGCGCGTACTGCTTGAACTCGGGGGTGTTGGCAAGCTTGGGATGACGGGAGTAAGTGAATGGTCGGTAGTGAGAGATCGGGAGTGACATAGTGACGTGCTTGCTCGTGCTGCTCGAGAAGAGGAGCGCACGACCACTCGACACGCTCGCATCCTGACCCAGACGACGATCAGTGAACAGAGTAAGACTAGACTCTCAGGGTACAGACGCTCTAGGGATTATACACTGCCACTATCGGTTATAACCTCAAACACCGACAACTGTCCAATTTGGGGACACAACGGTATTGAGAAATATTTATTGAAAAACTGCCTAAATGCAGTTGAATGCCATTTTACTTGCTAACACGATCTACCACAAAGAGCCCGTTGAACGCTCTCAACCAGTTGATGACCTCTCCCCTCTCCCTCTCTGCCTCACAACGCCCACACCCACCCACGCCCAGACAAGCCTAGTGCTCATCCGGGAAAGCCTTAATCGCGCTCGTATCCCTCACACCAGGCAAAGGGAACCGTCTAGCAAACAGCCTAACCTCCCTCGCCAGCTGCTTCACTCCCTCGCTCTTCCCCGCCGCAGCTACAAAATCGACCAGCTTCTTACTGCCCGCTTCTTTCTGCGTGGAGAGACAGAGCTGGACTGCCCGGTCCAGGAAGGAGGCGACTTGCAGTATGTCGGATGTGTGCATCGACCGGGATGTTAGGCAGGCGAGGCCCAGGCGGACACCGCCGGGCGTCTGGGCGCTCACATCCCCCGCGACGGCGTTCTCTGTTCGTTTATCAGCATTCCACGTAATAGGCTGGAAGCGGACGTCAGACGTACTGTTAATAGTGATCCCGGCCATATCGCACAACTTTTCCACTTTGCTCCCCGTCAGCCCGAGCGGACGCAAGTCCCACAAGATCAGGTGGTTCTCCGTCCCGTCCGTCTGGAGCTTGTAGCCCTTATCATGCAAGAACCCTGCCATCGTCTGCGCGTTCTCGATGACCGCACGGGCGTACTGCTTGAACTCGGGGGTGTTGGCAAGCTTGAGCGTCACCGCGATAGCCGCGATGGTGTGGTTGTGCGGCCCACCCTGGCACGCAGGGAAGACGGCGTTGTTGATCCTGCTCTCCATATCCTGTTCCTTATCCTTGCGGAAGAAGATGAGCCCCGCCCTCGGGCCACGGAGCGTCTTGTGCGTCGTGGTAGTCACGACGTCGCAGTACTTGAAGGGGTTGTTCTGTGCTCCAGCAGCGACGAGCCCGGAGATATGGGCCATGTCGCACATCAGGTAGGCTCCTTCCCCGTCCGCGATCTCCCGCAGACGCTTATAGTCCCAATCCCTGGGGTAGGCGGATGCACCGCAGACAATCGCGCGGGGCTTGAAGAGCTTGGCGTTGGCAGCCAGGAGGTCGTAGTCGATGTACCCGGTGTCCTTCTTCACTTGGTAGGGGAAGGACTGGAAGTAGATCGACGAGGCTGAGATCTTCTTCTTTGCCGTCTGGGGGGAGTTAGTGGATGTGGAGGTTAGAATGAGGGACATACGTAGTATCCGTGCGTGAGATGGCCACCGTCAGGCAGGCCGAGGCCCATCAGCCTGTCCTGGGGGTTGATAAGTGCCGTAAAGGCAGCGAAGTTTGCCGTCTGCATGACGATGATCAGCCCAGTTAGCAGGAAGAGAAAGATACAAAAAAAAAGACATACAGAACCAGAGTAAGGCTGGACGTTCACGCCCCACTTGCTCGTGTCACAGCTAAACGCCTCCAAGGCGCGCTTCTGGCAAAGCACCTCCAATTCGTCGACGTACTACGCGCCAAACATCAGCTACGCCCAGCGCTAAGGACCTGAACGCACCTCGTTCCCACCGTAGTACCTGGCCCCGGGCAACCCCTCCGAGTACTTGTTAGTAAAGATCGACCCGTTCGCCTCGAGCGCGGCGAGGGAAGTCAAGTTCTACGGCGATGTGAGCGCGGCCCAGAGGGATGATATTGAGGGGACGTACCTCGGAAGCGATGAGCTCCAAACCGGAGAACTGGCGCCAAGTCTCGCGGTCTACGAGCTCTTGGACTTCGGGGTCCAGCTGAGCGAGCGGGACGTAGAGATCTTTGTTCTGCACGGTCGTTCATGAGTGTGTGTGGAGTGGTAGGTGGTAGGAGTGGAGGACGTACGAAATCATCAGGGAGAGCAACCTTGTTCGCCATCGTTCTTCTCAGCAAGGGAGTAGGAACGGTCCGAGAGCGAGAATGAGAGTGAGAGAGGGTAACGGGAGAAGTACGGGCGTGGGAGAGAGAGCGAAGTGAGGACCTGAGCGTTATGGATCGGAACATGTTGGGGTGGGGATAGACGGAGTAAGGGTTTGTTGGGGGCGGGCAGGTGGGCGTACACGTGGGAAGATGATCCAAGGGCGTGGTAGGCGGCAATGGGCGGGCGGTGGAGTCGGGATGTCAGCCGAGTAGGATATGAGGAGGAGGTGCAGGAGGAGGAGGAGAGCAAGATGTTACAGTACAGTGAATATAAGCCTCTTTGGTGTGGAAGGGACGCGCTCACAAGTATCACGAGCTATTCAACTTCTCGGGTGAAAGATGGAGGTCACTGTAAGGGCACAACACCTCCACTTGAGCGGGCAAAAGACTATAAGAGGTCTATCCCGTTCTCACTAAAAGATACTCACAAACAAGAGTCAAAAGACAAGTAAGTTAAACTGTCAACGTTAACTCTTTACGCCGGCAAGCTACTTCTACTTATGCGCTCATGGCTGACTCGCCCACTCCGAAATTTGCATGTCTCACCGATCACCGAATACACATCGATCCGCTCAGGGCTTCGGCCCCTTTTGACCCAATCACTTGCGTTTACGCTCGGTCTGCTCCATCCACGCCGATGATATGACTCGGTACACCGTTCACACCAAGCACCGCAGATCAAACTCTCTTCCTCTGCGACCGCCCAGTCCTACCCGCTCACACATCCTGCCGAGCGCGAGCATACCAAAGTCCCCAACACTATACAATGTCCCTTTCTGGAATCTACTTCCCCACACCGAGTGAGCGGGTCCCACTGTGAATAGTATTACAATGCAGTTCAGAACGGTGCGGTCTAGGCTTAAGGCTGTAGGCTGTAGGGGTAGGATCCAGCGTCTAGGGCATATAGTAGTAGCAGTAGCGAGTCTCAGGCAATTACACTCTCAAGCCAAGGGTGTCGTTAACGATCAAGAGAACGGGTGAAGCCAGTAGTCAGCCCTATACATCTCCATTGACCTTCCTTCCATCCTTCTCCTTTCCCTGTCCATCCACCCCAGTATGCGGGTGCGGGTGCGGATGTGGGCTCTTATAACAACTCTGGCCCACCATCTGTTCTTCCAGCATATTCGGCCCCACGCTCGCCGCGACCAAGCCGAGGAACGGCGGGCTAGGGTTGAGCGGTCTGGTACAGAACTCCGGGTGCGCCTGCAGCCCGACGAAATACGGATGATCCTTGAGCTCGAACGCCTGCATCCGCTCTCCGCGCTCGTCCTTGCCTATGAACTCGAGGCCAGAATCGACCAAGCGGTCGACGTACAGCGGGTTCACTTCCCACCTGTGCCGGTGCCGCTCGTAGATTACAGAGGCGTTGCCGTATAGCCTGCGGAGCTTGGACCACTCTGTCCCCGGGGTGAAGAGCGTTTCCCGTAGGCCGAGACGCATCGTACCGCCCAGCTGAGTCTTAGAGATCTCGGGCATGTACACGACCACGGGGTTCGGCGTGTGCTCGTCGATCTCCGTATGGTGTGCGTCTGTATAGCACTTAGCACTAGGATCGGGAAAGGGTGGGCAACGGACCGTGCAAACCGCAGACGTTCCGAGCCCACTCGACAACCGCGAGCTGGAAGCCGTAACAGATGCCCAGGAAGGGCTTCTTCTGCTCGCGCGCCCACTTGGTAGCAAGGATCATCCCCTCCGTACCGCGGTCGCCAAACCCACCAGGGACGAGGACGCCGCTAAGGGCCGTGAGCGAGAGAGGGGAAAGAAGGGGAAAGCGCCTACTCGGCCATGACGAGGGTGCGCCACGCGTCATGATACTGTGCGGGGGCGACATCGAGTGTCGCCGGCTCGAGATGGGAGGACTCGAGGTACTGACCTCTGCATTAGTCACCATTCCGTACCCTAGCATGACACGCACCTGCAAGTTGAGCTTCCTGTTACACCTGAGCGCCGCGTGCTCCAGCGACTTGGTCACAGACATATACGAGTCCGTGACATCTGTGTACTTGCCTACGAGGACGATCGTGACCTGCCCGTAGGGCCTTTCCTGTCTGCACATTGTGTCAGCCTCCTGCGATAGACAACGGATACGGACATACCCCTCTGTCAAACGCGTCCAGCGCTCTTTGATACTGTGTCCCCGCTGAACCATCTCCTTCGGGATAGATATCGTGTCCAGCTGGAGTCGTTTCTGGAGATAAGGCACCAGGCCCTGCCCAGCCAGGAGCATAGGCACGTGGTACACCGAGGAGACGTCGTGCACTCCCAGGACCTGATCCTTCCCTACGTGGCAGAACATTGATATCTTCGCTTTTGTGGCTTCTTCCAGAGGACGGGAGGACATGAGCCTGCATGCGACCTAGATGGCGTCAACAACCTGCAAGGGGGAGCGAAGGATGGACATACCAGATCGGGTGTGAGCCCCAACCCCCGTAGGTCACGCACAGTAGCCTGCGTGGGCTTTGTCTTCTGCTCCCCATGCATATCCGGTACCAAAGACACATGGATCAACGCAAAGTTCTCGTGCCCCACCCGAAACTGGAACTGCCGCATGGCTTCTATAAACGGGGCGCTCTCGATGTCTCCCACCGTTCCCCCGAGCTCGACTATGCACACGTCTGGGGCGAGGTCGGTGTCGTCTACCGGGATGTGGGAAACGCGCTCTATCCAGTCCTGGATAGCAGTCGTCACGTGCGGTACGATCTAGCGTAGAGCGTAAGCAGGGTGACTCACCCAGAAGTAAAAAGACAGACCTGCACGGTTTTCCCCAGATAGTCACCCCTCCGCTCGCGTTGGATAACCTCGCTATATATCTTGCCCGTAGTGATGTTGTTTTCCCTCGAGAGGATAACATCCAAGTACCGCTCATAGTTCCCCAAGTCCAAGTCGACCTCCCCACCGTCATTGAGCACGTACACCTCGCCTGGCCTCATCAGCCGCGCCGATCGGGGTCGGTCAAGCAGGGGACGTACCGTGCTCAGTGGGCTTCATGGTCCCCGCGTCAATGTTCATATAGGGATCAATCTTGATTGCGGTGACCTTGAGACCGGTCATCTTGAGCAACAAGCCGGTGCTGCTCGCTGTTCATCCGCACAGGCAATAAATTTTCGTCAGCTCGCTCGTTCATTTGGAAAGTGGGACATAAGGCGTACCGATGACCCCCTTTCCGATACCACTGATCACACCGCCCGAAACAACAATGTATTTTGTCATTGGGCCGTGTTTGTTAAATCAAGGATGTGAGGGGAAGGAGAGAAACTTGAAGGGTGCAAACTGATGTTGGACGCGACTGATTTTACCTCGGCGCGTCTTCGCCTTCTGCGGAAGCAAGTCAAGGAAAGAAATTAAATCATCGTCATGTCCAGACGCGTTTGACTGTGAAAAGTATATTGTTTCCATCAGAGTAGAATGTGAAGCGGGAGCAGATTAACTCTCACTCCAGTACAGCCACTATAAGGGACACTTTTTCGGCGCTGAAATTCGGCTCGTCGGGAATGTTGTCCCCGCATGTTCGCCAAAGGTGGAGGACGGCGGGGTGTCACTCCGGAGTAACTACTCCCCGGCCCGGGTAGACAGCGTCTGCTCAATCTATATCTCATCCTCATCATCTTTCACTCCTGTTCACCTCTCACTCCTCCACTCTCCAATGTCGAAGACCAAGATCCTCGTATGCCGCGACATCGGCGACAAGTCCATGGCCGTCCTGCGTGCACAGGAGGACTGGAATCTCGTTATCTGGCCACACGATAGGCCTGCGGACAAGGAATGGGTGTACGCGAACGCTCCTGGAAGTGTGGGGATGGTCGTTACCCTGGGGGAGAAAGTCACAGAGGAGCTCGTCGCTCTCACAGGACCACAGCTGAAGGTCGTGAGCACGATGAGCGTGGGCGTCGGTATGTTCTCTCCTTGCCTGATGCTCTTATCTCAAGTTTGGATTAGACCACGTCGAGCTCCCCGCTCTTGCATCGCGTCATATCCGCCTAGGCTACACGCCTGACGTGCTGACTGACGCTGTCGCCGATTGCAGTATAATGCTCGCCCTCATGGCTTCACGCAACGTGACATCCTCGCAGACCCTCCTGCGCTCAGGTACTTGGGGCAACCTAGGGTGGGGTCCATACCTGTTTTGCGGTCCGCAGATTGGCGCTGGACCGGGGAAGAAGGAGAGCACTGTCGGTTTCCTCGGGTTTGGACGTATCTCCCAAGCCACCCTCGTCCGGATAGCAGCGTTCGGAGTGACCCGATGCGTCTACTACAACTCCGGCCGGAAGGATCGTTCGGCCGAGGACCAGGCTCTCGCAGACAAGTTAGGACTGAAGGAAGTAAAGCGCGTCGAGCTGGACGAGCTCGCGCGATCGAGCGACGTCCTCTTCACCCTTGTTCCGGGGGGGAAGGACACCTTCCACATTGTAGACGAGGCCTTTTTGCGGAAGATGAAGCCTACTTCGGTACTGGTTAACACGGGTCGCGGGCCGATCGTGGATACCCAGGCGCTTGTGAAGGCTTTGAAAGAAGGCTGGATATGGGGTGCAGGGCTGGACGTCGTTGAGGGGGAACCGAACATCCCCGCAGACCATCCCTTGCTGCATGAGCCGAGGTGAGTGCCCATGTTCCCCTTAGTACTTCCCCTTCCCTCTCCCTACTTTTCTACCCAAGGGAATCTGACCAGCAACAGGTGCGCAATCATCCCCCATATTGCGAGCGCTACGATCGAGACGCGCGAAGCGATGGCCATGCTCTGCGCGACGAACCTCGTCGGCGGTCTGAAGGAGGGCAAGATCGGGGTAGAATACGATCTTTCTTGATCTCCCGCGCATATAGGGTATAGATTATACAATGTACAAGGGAAGGTATGTAAATGTGCTACTGGTACAGGAATAGGTCGTGATTGATCAGTTCGATCAGGTATAGAGCAGGAAATCGATGCTAATTTATTGTCCATCCATCTGGATATCCTCCTGTTCGTCCAGCCGAGGGTGCTTCCCCACCTCCGAGTCGCTTTCCCCCTCCTGAACATCCGCAATAGTACGCTTTCTCCCTTTCCCTTCCATTTCCCCCCTGTTCCCTTCCTCAAGTAAGGCATCCCACGGAGTCCGCGCCACCTTCCCCTCCCTTTCTCTTTCCTTCTCTTGCTCCTGTTCCAGCTCCACGACCTTCCCCGCCTCCGTAAAAAACGGGATGCCCTTCTCCTCCCCCTCCTCCACAACATAGAACCCATCTCTGGTATTCCGGTGCGTCCGTCCCCTTTTCCACCTATTCCAAGCCCATTCCACGACCCTATCGATCCTTTCCACGACAGCAGGCTGCTTCTCGCTCACCAGGCCCGTGAACGTGTATGGCCGGAGGACGTTCCCCTTCTCCTTTCCCACTGTGGAGTCGACCCTCAAGTGACTGTCCTCAAGGGTGAACCACTTCGCCAGCTGGACTGGGGTCTTCCTTTTGCTTGTCGCCGTCCGCTTTCCACGAGCAGCCGCCTTCCTATCCGACTCCGTATGCAGCGCCTCGTGTCTCCTCGCCGCGTCCGGTCTGCTCAATCGTTTTCCGCAAATGTTACAGTCACACCCCTGTCCTTTGGGCGCCATGAACCCCCCAAAAACGAGCTTGCCAGGATCTGTGACTTGGTCCGTCCAAAGTTCCTCCCACTCGCGCATCGCGTGCGAATTGGTTACGTGCCGATCTAGCGCACCGCGGTCAGTGAAGGCGTATGCGCAGGCCTTGCCAAGGCAGGAAGGGGAGGACGGGAGTCCGCAGAGGAAATATACGAGTTCCCCCGTGTCGAAGGTCACTTCGTGTCCGTTGGACTTGCATGTGCGCCGGGTCCTGCCCGCGCGCCGCTCGTTCCCTTTCTTGCGGGCGCTGTATGGCTCGCGGTAGAATGTTGGAGAGCCTCTGTCGCCGGCGGATAAGACGGAGTTGGAGTCGGATGTGGAGAGCGGGCTCGAGATGTGGGGTGTCCTTCCGTTTATCGGGTGCGGTGCCCTTCCGTTCATTAGATGAGGTATCGTTCTGTATACCAGGAACTCTGACATAGGTTCCATGGCAGCGGGAGAGGAAGAATCGCTTCCGGGAAGCCACGAGCTCGCTGCTGGTGATGGAGCGAAAGAAGGTGGAGAGAAAGGAGATGAGGAAAGTGGGGATTGGCCCAGCAGGGCGGCCAGTGTCGGAGGGAATTGAGAAGGTGCTGGTAAGACAAGTTGGTGAGGAGCAACAGCAGTTGCGATATTAGGTCCACCCAATACCACTGACATGCCCATTCGTCTCCCATGCCTGTCCCTCGGCACCGGAAGGAATGGTAGTTTCGGCGGGGTCATTTGAAGGGCTGGTATCGTATTGGGAAAGGAAGATTGCGAGAGCCATGGAGGAAGGAAAACTCTGGGGATCGGAAGTTGTGGGGGTAGCTCATTGGGAGACAAGCTGCTGGAGGAAGTTTCTAAAACTTGAGCGTCCAGATATTGCGCGAACAGTGCTTGATCCCAATCATCCAGCGTTCCATCAGGAGCAAGCGCAGTGGCCCTCGTCAATCGCTGGAGTTCATCCTCGGGCATGGCCCCAGTCATAGACCCAATCCCACCGTTATTTACGCCGTCGGCAACTGTATGTTCGGCAACCCGAGTTGGAATTATCGACTCTCCAGGCAGCATGGACATCCGGTGATCGGAAGATACCAAGCTTCCAGGGGAAGGGGCAGAAGCGTCGCTCCCTTCGGTGCTTGCCCAGTACTCGCTATCATCATGATTGCAATCTGGGTCAAGTACCGCCGCAGATAGTCTTGAGGTCGAATTTCTTGCGGGATTTCCGGAATCGGTGATCCTACTAGAGATGGGCGAACTAGGAGAAGTTTCAGAATTCCCAGATATCACAGGAGAGCCCCAGTTCCCTGTACTGGCAGATAATTCAGAGCCTGCGGAATATCCTGAATGTCGAGTATTTCTTGCTAAGTGACCAGCCTCAGCAGATATATGGTCCAATTGACCAGACTCAGCAGATGTGTGGGCCAATCGAACAGACTCCACAGACATATGGCTGACAACCGAGGATCGCCTGCTGCTCCCCGCGTCATTGATTGATGCTGCAAACACAGGATGTCAGCACCTGAGTCAAAATAGAGTGATACTTTGCATACAAGTCAATTTACTGTCGCTGCCTTGATCGGAAGGCAGGGGAACAGAACTGCGGTCACTCTCGCTTCCATCCACAAGATGTCGAGCAGGCCGATCGGCATGATCATCCATAGAATTGATCCAGGTATCCCAGGGATTGCGAGTGGACTTCTGAGCGAGTGCGTCGAAGATGTTGACATTGGTGAGGTAGTGCAGACTATCATCGAACGCTGTGATGGATGATATACTCATATTGTTGTTATAGTGGGAATACGATGAAAGTAGAAAGGATCCAGAAAAAGAGCGACTTTGGGAGGAAAGGATTAAAAGAGCGTGAGAGTTGCATTCGTTTGGAAAGCAGCTTATTTATAATCCCAGTCCATCGAGACGCCTGTGCCTTATTGGCCTGGTGCGAGTTATGATTCAAGTTTGTGTCAGAGATATCGTTGCCTGCTTCAAAGGAAACCAAACCAAGTCCATCATCACCAATTTGAAATTCAGAGGATGCTCAGGCCCCGAGGCTTTGTTTGCTTTGTGGAACTAGCGCCGGATCATAAGCGCTGAAGGCCATTCACCGAATCGAATGCTTCCATGAAAGAAGCATATCAAAGTCGCGAATGGTCCAGAAGCCTAGGCCAGAAGTGGTTGGAACCGCCGTGGCCATGAGTATGTTAGAAGCCGGGCGGTCGGGCTTCAAGCCAGGCGAGTCGGCTCCTTGTTTGCAGAAGTCCTCTGGCATTAGTCCTCTGGCATTGAAAGTCACGTTGCCCCGGTAAATAGGCTTTCCCGTGATATGATAAAGACAATAGTGAGATACCATGTTGAGGGTTCGGAGGAAATCGTATCATTCCAGTTCGCAAGATTGCTATCGATAACGTGCGAGCGGCTGGCCGAAGTCTATAGAGCGGTTGATCACTGGTTCGCTTGAGGATCCAAAATAAGGGTGTACATATCCGCGTGGAAGAAGCATGTATTTTCCTATCATCCAAGAAAAGCGCTGCATTATACGTGAATAAGACGCGCAGAGAATTGGGAGAGAGGTTGTTATATTCTGTCGTCTTCCCACCAGCGGCCTTTTTCGGTATGGACTAGGGCCGGCCCACTTTACCCCTAACCGAGCCGTCCCTGAACCCTTACGTGACCCGGTGTGATAGATAAGGAAGGACGAGCTTTCGACATCGCGACCACATTGGACCGGGTACAACGAGTTCACAGATGGCAGATAGAGCTAAACCATCCATCGTATATAACTCCCCCCTTAAGCGCATCTCAAGTACCCTTCCCAATTCTGGGCTCACCTACCCCGCCTCGTTTGCTTTGCTGGCTTTGTTACTTTTGGCTATTCAATATGATCGGTGCTGGTATGAACATGGAAGATGTCAAGGCGGCGGCGGAGACGATCATCCCGATCAAAGGAGCGGTCAATGGCAATCACGACGCCGAAAAATCAATGGCTGAATTGCATCCCTTTGACCCGCTCACGCCTGCGGAGATACAGAACACCGTGGCCGTTCTTAAGGCCCAGTTTCCAGACGTGCCGCTTAGGTTCAAGGTAATCGAAATCCTCGAACCTACCAAATCGGATGTTATTCCATTCATTGAGGCTGAGAGGCTTGGGAAGCCGCTGCCTGCATATCCTACTAGGCTGACTTTCAGCTACTTCCATCGTGAGAAATCCTGCTCTTTGGCGTCGTGTGGCTTCTAAGTCTTGGGTTGAGGTATGGACACTGGGATCTTCCATAAGGCCGTCCTCAATCCATCTGGAGGCAAGGTAATCTCAATGAAGCAGCTTCCTGGGACTATCCAGGGACCCATTGGTAAGTGTTGACCACGCCGATGTGATAGTTTCTCTCATCATATCCCAGATGTGGACGAGATGATCGCCATTGAGAAGTTCTGTCTTCAACATCCCGCCGTGCTCGCAGAAATTGAGAAGATGAAGCTGCCATCTGGTTACAGCGTTTGCACAGATCCATGGATCTATGGCACGGACGATGAGAATGAGAGTCGGCGGCTGATTCAGTGCTACATGTATGTGGTGGACCGAGATCATCCGGAGTGTAACCACTACAGCATTCCTGCGACGTTTTCGCCCGTGTTTGATGCAGTCAAGCTTGAGCTGGTTCGCATGGATTATCTCCCGCCTGGAAACACATTCGAGGGTGTTCCAACCTCTCCGTGGAAGCCCGTCAAGGCCGTCCAGTATGCGCATGCGCTCATGGACGAACCCGTCCGCACTGATCTCAAGCCGTACATCGTTCAGCAGCCTGAAGGCCCAAGCTTTACCGTCAGCAACAACAACCTCATCCAGTGGCAGAAGTGGAGGTTCAGAATCGGCTTCAACTACCGCGACGGACTAGTCATCTATAACGTCACATACGCTGGTAGGAACGTATTCTACCGTCTGAGCATGTGCGAGATGACGGTTCCTTACGGAGGTGATTTGTTAAAATTCAATTTACATTGAATCACTAAAGGCCTTCAAGATCCCCGCGCGCCGTATCACCGGAAGCAAGCGTTCGACGTGGGTGACGTCGGTCTCGGAGTCACGGCTAATCAGCTTGCCCTGGGCTGCGACTGCCTTGGTCACATTAAATACTTCGACGGCTACCGCACTGATTCGAAGGGAAATCCGGTACATTTGAAGAACGTCATTTGCCTGCATGAACAGGACGGCGGCCTTCTACATAAGCACACCAACTACCGTTCGGGCATCGCGACTGTCGCACGCAACCGCCAGCTTGTCGTCCAGATGATCGCAACTGTTGCTAATTACGAGTACATCTTCGCATGGATCTTCGACCAGGCCGCGGGCATCGATTTCGAAGTTCGGGCAACAGGTATTCTAAGCACGATTCCGATGGACACAGAGGATGGCCAGACCTCCGAGTGGGGGCCCAACATTGCTCCGGGTGTGGTTGGAAGCTATCATCAGCACCTGTTCAGTCTCCGTATCGATCCTGCCATTGATGGTTTCAAGAACACGGTTATCTACGAAGATAGCGTTCCCTCCAAGCCCGATCCAGTAAAGAACAATTGGGGCAATAGCTATGTCACCGAAGATACCATTATCAAAGAGGCGGGTGCATACGATACTAACGTCCCTCTGCATCGCACTTACAAGATACGGAACGACTCGGTTATCAACAAGCTCACGCACAAGCCCGTCTCGTACAAGATCATGACATGCCCCAGCCAGATGCTTCTGATGGCCCCGGACAGCTACAACACAAAGCGAGCTGGGTTCGCCACCAAACCCGTGTGGGTAACGAAGTACCAAGATGGTGAGCTTTACGCAGCTGGCGAGTTCACCAACCAGAGCAAGAAGGGAACTGGCGTCGAAGTTTGGACTGAGCGGAAGGATCACGTGGAAAATGAGGACCTCGTTTTCTGGCACAGTACGTTCATTCTCTTTCCGAACTCGAATTGCCATTTAAGAATGATCAGCTTTTGGTTTGACACACAATCCACGCCCGGAAGACTTCCCGGTGATGCCCGTAGAGCGCATCATGGTTTCCATGAAGCCTAATGGATTCTTTGAGAAGTCACGTAGGTGCTTGCACTACTCAGAGAAGTGGCATTGCTGATAGGGTTGGTATTATAGCTGCGCTTGACGTTCCTCAGAGCGTCCAGAGCGCCAACAAGTCTACACTGTACAACGGCGCCAATGGGAAAATTACCACCGATACCGCATCCTGCTGCTATCCAACCCCCCTTCCTAATGGAAGCCACGCCTGAACTGTTGAATAATTAACATGATTGCGCTGTTGTATCTCTTAATTGCTTGACATAGACAATCCGAACTGCTGTCATGCGGTCCCAACTGAGCTGCTTGTAAGTGGGGTAACAAGAAAATGCTGAGAATAGATAGCGACTCTGATTATGACCAAAGAAAAAGCGATGCCCTGTATGCGGCTGTGAGAAATACAGGATTACTCTGTTGTGAGGTACTTACAGTGAGAGACGCGAGACTCTCCAGAACGATGTATTGGGCGTTGGAGTTGATTGCAAAGAGAATCAAAAGCACTAATTGAGCGCAGAGGTACAGAAGTGCCGACTCCAGAACGATGTGCATGATTCGGCGCAAAGTAAATAGGCCCGGTCCGTGATTCCGCTTCATATCCCACTTCCCTCGGCTCCACAATTGAAACACGATCAGGCCAGTACAAATAGCGTTCTGTGTGAGAGTGAGAGAATAAAACGAGGTTATCCACGGTTTGAATGGCAGGCTGAACAGCTGTACAGGGGAGTTTCAGGCTGTACTGTACACACAGCAGTCGCGGAAAGGCTCACGCTGTCTGTGGGTCCTGCGATGCTGAAAAGATATGCAGTGCAGTAATACCCTGCCGCCGCCGAACCGGCCCACAACACAATTGTTGCCACACAAGCCAGGACCGATAGATCTTCCGAGAGGCTTGTCAGCAGAACCATGAGACAGTCCAATATGCTCACATTGAAAGCATCCCCCACTAGAGTCTGACTCACATACAATGCATATTTTGTTGAGAAGGTCGGCTGACTCATGTCTTTGAAGAAGTTGGAGGGTTCATTGGTTTGCCCCGCGAGCCAGACATAAGCAACCATCATGCGCCAGCCATTGGCCGCCAGGTGGGCAGTGGCGATCCCGAACATGAGCAAGGCGGTGAACAACATAGGCTGTTGGGACTCATTAGATAACGTGAGATGAAGAAATAGCTTGTGCAAACGAACATAGTTGATCCTTTCGCCTTCCTTTCTCTTCCACAAAAGCACATATATAGCAGTCCAGAGAAAGATGCCTGTTATTGTTATCAAGGGCGAGTTCAGGGGCAAGGCGGGGGGGACCTACCGTACACGATTGCCTTAGAATAAGATATGTGATTAATCTTCGGGAATCACAACAAGCGTTGAGAAGAACGTACTTCAGTCCAGATAGAAACAATCCCGGTCAGCTGAAGGGGAACGTTTACTATTGCCATGCCGTACAATTGGACATGTGGGGAAACGTCGTTCTAAGGAAGGGTGGTAGACAACGAGCTCAAGATGTTTACCACAGTACCTCCAGATTGAGTGCATGATATGATCCCAAGAATCAGTAGTGGAGGCCTCAGATGGCGGGAGAATGCTAGATGGCGGTAGGCTCGGTTGGCAACTGCATTGCAGAAGCAGCGCAACATCTCAGCCTCAATCAAAACCGGAGCGGAGCGGATGGACAAGTATACAATGCAACCGAGAGTGCCAGAAATAGAGCGAAAGGATTAAAGGGCAACCGGGAGAGACCAGATGGCTGGCTAAGACCATGATCCGACATAACGTGTGCTGGGGACCCTACTGGGTTGCAGCGGCCCGACGTGGTTGACAACACCGACATTTCCAACTATATTGCGCAGTATTTGGGTCACGAGGTTCTAGAAAAAGCTCCAAGGGTTGAATTGCAAGTCCTACTGAGACATGCGACCTGACATGCACTTCGGTACCAGAAATGTCCCAAGTCAGTTGCTGTTCGCTGGGCTGCAAGTTGCAGTGATTGTGGAAATCGTCGGAAGTGCGTCGCTGAGACGCATATGTGTAGGCGTGAAGTCCGGTTAGGGTAATGATAAGACAAAAAACCTGGATATTATATTAGATGCAGTGTTTTTGCAGGTGCCGGTGACTTACTATCCCGACGAGTGGGGTTATGATCTCCAGCAGCACATACTGGGCGTTGTCACTGCAAGCGTATGTGACCAACAGGACCACTTGAGCGGCTACGTAAATAGCGGCTGATTCCAGTATGATTTGGATGATTGACGTGAGGCTGAAGTTGCCCGTTCGATAGTCGCCAATTTGTCGCTCATGACGCCAGAGGCGGAACGCAATGAGCGATGTTGTGATAATGTTTTGAACCATTGTTAGAGTGTACCATATCGTCACATAGGTACGGTAGCGTGATCCAAAGATCTGCAAGAAGCTATTAGCCAGATCGACGTGTACGCGATATCATCGGGAGTTACATGCATTTGAATCGGTTTGATAGAACTGAAAAAGATAGCCAGGTATATAGTATCCGACAACTGAATGAGATTAAGAGCACGGGTTTTGAGCAGCAGAGAGATGGTTTACCACATGTTGTAAGCCATAATAACATCGGGAAAACGGGTATCCGCCAATTCTTATTCCATATGAGCCAGGAGCGATAAATCTAAACCACATTAGAATCATCATCTAAGATTTGCAGAAAAGAAACAGACATTCAAGCCATCTCCCAGTAAACTCTGGGTGACATACACGATATCTTTCGCCTTCTGCGTCGGCTCGGATAACGAATACAAATATAAGACGGCGGCTCCCGGCACGGACTCATTCAGGACGAATCCGTGTATTAATCTGTACACGTTGATCGTAACATGCGCGGTAGCGAGAGCGAACATGAGGATTGCAGCGATCAATATGGGCTGATATACGTGTCAGATGAGCGTGCCATGGAAGTGCAGAAGAGACGCACCAGGTTCAACTTAACCAACAGTCCCTTCTTCGCCACCAGAACATACACACTCGCTCCAAATATTGGTATGAAGATGCCTAAATTTCATGAGCAATATGTACATCGCAATGCCGTGAAAAAACCCTACCATAAAAACAGCCCTCTAGCCATATTCCAACTATGAATGCCTGATCCAGCGGGAAGCGGATTGCCATTCTCCACCGTGGTGCATACTCGGTCTGTTGTACTATAAGCAACCAAGATCCAGATATTTCCCCTAGGGGATAATATGGGGTTCATGGTGAGGCTGGAGGGGCAGGTTTGAGTGTGGGGCGAAGTGCAGAAAGAGGGCGTGTTAATGAGCAGGGAGGCTTGCTGTGGTGGCATAATTTCCAGCGCCACAGGCATTAACTAGATGCTCATGGTCCCCGACCATTTTCCAGCCATGTTGCAAGCCATAACAATACAATAGCAAGTCAGAGTATTGATGTTTATTGACAGGAGACAGAAATCTTGGCATTTGACACGTTCTCACTAAAAGCGGAAGCAATCAACAGGCGTCAATGACAAGCGCGCATACAGCCAGTCTGATTCGTAACTTCACACATAGTACACTTCATGAGGAGGGATCGCTGAATCATCTCATCCAACGGTCAAGTAACTTACACCTAACACTGCCTGGCATAAGTGTGGGTGTTCCCACTGCCCACGTCCTCTTTTTTCAACCGACCATGGTGGGCTTCGTCCCTCAAGGAAGGCTGACCTGTGAAAGTTGCCATGAGCATGGGCACATCTGGATTTTCTGTTCCAGCATCAGATTTCCATCAGACCACATTTAAAAAATCATACGCACTCATGAGCGCTTCGGTGATCTCCATAAGATCCGCTACGACACGCTCGATAAGGTCGCCAGAGACGCTTTCCCTTACCACAATGCGGAGGATCTCGACGTCCTCCAAGCTCGGTGGCAGATTGTAATTCGGTACAATCCATCCCTTGTTACGGAGCAGGGTCTGTATCCAACTTTGCTGGATATAGGGATACTGTTCTTTGAACTCGTCGGTGAAACGGAACGACACGACCGGAAGGCCTTTCACGTAGCTCTCCGGGTCTTCGAGATCAGGAACAGCGCCAACAGCTTTGTGTGCCACGCCGATCACACCACTTGCTGTCTTTGGAGCAGGTATGTGGATGTTGCTGAGTACCTTGTAATACCCGGACAACTCCAAGGCGTTCGAAAGGATACGGGCATTCTTCAGGTCCGCGATGACGATCCTGCGATAACCTTCGAAGCCTAGGTTGAGGAAGTTGAAGTATTGACCGAGGATGGGGGCCGCAGGCCGAGAGAAATTTAGAGTGTAAGTATATTCTGTGCTTCCCAAGTAGTGAAGCTCGAAGATAAGCTCTTTTGGCAGCATGTCCGCGTTTCGGAAGACAATCCAGCCGAGACCAGCATATACAAGGCCATATTTGTGCCCAGAGGTGCTGCGCGATGCGTTAGCCCGGATCGTTTTTTTGGGGTAGGAAAGAAAGTAAATCACTTGATGGAAGCGACGCGGTGAATATCGAAGGACCACTTATAGTTGGGGTACGCGAAAGGTGCGACGAACCCGCCAGAGGCAGCGTCGACATGAATAGGAACATCGACTCCGGTCTCCTTCTGGTACTCGTCCACTGCATATATATCAGCGGGGAACTCAAGAGTGAGTGAGAAGGACACACGGAGTTCGGCCATCACAGAGACAGGTTCGAAGTGGCCCGTATATGTGCTGCCAAGGATAACCATCACACCGATGGTGTTCTCGTCGACAAACTTTATCGCGTCGTGCGGGTCCATGCAGTAGTTGCTCTTCTCCGTCACCGGCACCAGGCGCGCCTGTGTGCTTGATCAGCGGATTGTTTCGAAACGCATGAGGTATACAAACCTCCACTTCCCAGTACCTGGCGAACTTCTCCAAAGCAACCTGGGCATTGGCCCCAAATACAATGTTAGGCTTCTCCGCACTCTTCCCCTCCGCTTTCCTCTTATTCTGCCAGCGCTTCTTAAGCGCCATTCCTCCGAGCATGATCGCCTCAGAACTTCCGGTCGTAGCAGTGCCGATCGCCTGTCCCTTCGGGGCATGCCAGAGGTCGCCAAGCATTGAAATGCAGCGCGTATGGATCACCTGTGTAGCCGGATACTCGTCTTGATCCGCGAAGTTCTTGTTGATGTTCTCCATCATCAGTTTGGTGGCTTCTTCAGGCACTGAGCCGGGTAAGCCACATCGGGACAATGAGGGGAGGGAATAAGGGCGTACTCCACGTGTGGACGAAAGAAGCAAAGTTGAGCAAGGGAGAGCCATCCAGATTCATCTCATCGTGAATGAGCTGGTATGCCGCTACCACAGCCGTCAGTGTTCATGCTTGTATGCTAGATTAAAGAAAGATGACCTTTGGAGCTCACTCCCACTTGTGGCATCTTGTACTTGGGCACCTCAGCATCAGCATCGAACCTGGACGCATATACGCCCTCATGGATCTCGCGGTGGTGACGCTCCAGTATCTTGTGGTGCGGGTGCTTGCGTGCAGCCTCGATGAGCGCTTCAGCATCAATGTGTTTCGAGAGCGCCATCCTTGAGCAGTGTGTCAATAGAGTGGTCGAAGGAAGAAGGATAGTCCCACAATGGGCGGGTCGAGGAGTAGATATATGCGCTCAGCATGACCCACCATGCTTTGTATCATGCCTCCCTCACCCAAACGGGATCCAGGTCCTGGAGTGGCAAGCTGACGTCAACGGCCGTCATTCCCACACTTCTGGTAAGGGTCTCATTTCCGGCGGATGTTATTCCCAAAGCGTCATCGTCATCGATCATGGTCTGGAGCGAACTATTGATGAGATCTGGGAAAGCAGGTATCGCAGCGAGGCTGAATGTTGAGGTTGTCTCAATTGGATGATGAGCCATTGCCCAGCGCTTTCCGAGTCTACTCCTGTCGTTTCATATATACTTTTAAGTCAGCCCATACGGCTCGTCCCAAGTTTCATCTGTCATCAGATCTCGTATCAATGCTCGCCTGTGCTCTTCCGCATCTGCTTTGGTCATCCCCATCGCTGCCATGTCGCAGATATAAATGGCAAGCTCCACAGGAAGACCACGGCCTCGGGTGGCACGCCTGCAGGCCATATCCAAAGCATTGTAAACATATGGGAAGATGCGGAAGCGTTGCTGAGGCAAGATATCCGCAGTCGTCAATACTGGAGGTGCGTTCGGTCCAATATGTGCTCCACAGCAGTAGGTGAATCCAGGGGAAGCTTTCGTTGCCGTTCTCGTCCATTTGGGGGCAAAACTCGTTCACAACGAAGAAACAGAGCTAGAATCCCGTCAGCCTGGTAATGCAAGAAACGTCATGGATGAGCTTGCAGTTTTGAGAGATGCACCGCTGTTGCCCTCAACTCTCGTATTCTTCAGCCTAACAACCTTACGTTGTAACCAATTCGGAAAGCTAATCATCCTTCCCGTCGTTAGGCCGCTTGTCGCGATTCCCGTGACAGGGACGGTTCCAAGCTCAATGCTCCTCGGCAGGTCGTACGGAAAGTTTGCCCTATCTTCTACATCACTTGGATAGTCGAAGAACGGTTCGTCATCCTCGTTTTGCCGAATCTCGAAGTCAGATGCCTCGTTCTTGAAAGCATTTGGTTGGTCCTCGTGAGTGCGCAGACGTCGAAATGACAGACCAGCATCGGCTAAATAGGCATTGCTGTAGTAGTGGTAGATTAGAACAGCCCGGATGTGTTCATGGGGCTAAGGAAACTGGTAAGAATATTAGATCAGGTAGAGATATTTCCTGCTCACCAGACCCTCCAGTTGCCACTCGCCCCCGTACTCCTGCCCAGGGCGAAGCACGTAGTTGGCAGCCTTCACGATGACCTTGAGCTTTGTTCCAGCAAACCGACTTCGGCCTCGCAAACCGCCCAAAGAGTTTCCCAGTGCCTCTTGCTCTTCTTCCTCTCTCACAAGAGGTTCCTCTTCTACTCGTGCAGCATCCTCCGGCAGCTTCTCCTTCTTCTGTTCGATTATCTTTTCTTCCAGCTTTGTCAGGTCGCAACTTTCTCGCTCGGCAGCGCGCTCCTCCCATCTTCGGTAAGAGGGGGACATCTTGTACTTCCATTGGTACCACATGGATTCCTCGATCTGTGGAAGGGCGAGCTCGAATAATCTTTCGAGCGCCTTGTATAACGCTGGATGTTGCGAGCGCGGGCCGAGAGCATTGATGGGCGATTCAATGGTGACTGTTCCTTGCTTGGAAATGGCGAAAAGGGAAGGAAGCCTAAGTTCCTGATTTAGCAAGCGAACATTCCAGACAACAACGACGCGCACAGTGCATGTATGGTCTCATTGGCGACGGTACATTCACAATCCTCGTCCACAGGATAGCTGGTGATAGTCTTGTATCTGGATTCACAGCTGAGAGGATGATTGGTTCCCAGAATCCGAGTTACGCCTCGGACATAAGGATCTGGAACGACCCTAGACACAGTCTTTGCCGTCAAAGGGCGAACACTCACATAGCGATGGATCGATCAATTCCTGCACCATCCCGTCACTCCAGGTACGGAAATCCTTCACTTCCACGTCTGCCAACTTGTCCAGCTCTTGCTCAAGCACACGATGTAAGCTAAGCGGCACAAGATCATCTGCAGTCCGAACTCCGACGTGCTCCTTCAAGGCCGGTTCTCGGACTGCGTACTTGAACTGCCTGATGCGCTCGCGGGCCTTTGAGACATCACCGTCAATTGCGGTCCAATCGGCTGTATCTTCTGGCGTGCTGATCTCGCTGCGGAGTATTGGTTCGAGCGACAGAATGCGCGATGCTTCGCGCTTGAGTTCTCTACATAGGCGGTTTGGTGGGAACGTCTGTAAGAGGACGCCCAGGACGCACCTGATGAGCATGTCAACCCTCTCGCGTGGAACACCATTTTTAAGTAAACCTGATCCAAATGGCGGATCGAGACAAACGAATCCTCATTGGATCTGTCGTGTACATGCTAGATTCTTGCAGGTCGAGCCTTCACGGAAGGGCGGACAGTTCGAGCTCGGTCATCATTTACCGCTACAACAGGCGGACAAGGACATGGAGATGTCACATCAACCAATTCATCGGTCGTTAGGGTTTGACAGGGAGATCCGGCTTCTTGATCGAATATGACCGCGTCACAAAAAGTCACGAACTCGAAGGGTGCTGAATGGTGATGAGGAACATGATGATACGCTGCAAGATGCCTAAAACTGAAACTAGTATTCTCCCCCTTGAGCCGAAAGGAAGAGTGAGCATCACTTCACGTGAGCGATATATGACGACTCAATATTGGCGCCTCAATCCAGTCTTAACCAATTCATATTCATCCCTGAAAAGTATATGCAAATCATCCTCTAATGCTCGCACAATCCATATGATTCCTCCCACACCCTGTTCACCTTCCTATCAGCCGCCTTCCGATCGTCCATCAACCTCCTCCGATGCTCCTCCGCGTCCGCTCTAGTCATTCCCGCATCTGCAAGATCGCAGACATAGATTGCCAGTTCGATCGGCAAGCCGCGCCCGCCTGTGGTGCGCTTGCAGACCATGTCTAGCACATTGTACACATATGGAAAGATGCGGAAGCGTTGCTGAGGCAAGACATTGGCTGTTGTCAGGACAGGAGGGGCATTCGGTCCGACGTGTGGACCACTGTAGACGAATCCCGGGAAGTGCAACTCTACCTCATTTTCAAGTGTGGGCCAAGACTCGTTCACAACAAAGAAGCAGAGCTGGATGCAGATCAGCATGCATATACGTCAACCAGATCTCGAAAATCCGCTTACAATTTTCCGCATTGCGGGAGAATTGCCCTCAGCTCTAGTATTCTTCAAACCGGTGACCTGATGCTGTAGCCAATTCGGGAAACTTAGCATCCTTCCGGTCCTCGTTCCACCTTCTGTATCAATCCCTGTCGCAGAGACAGTTCCCAGTTCAATGTTCCTCGGAAGAGTATAAGGGTAGGAATTGACATCCTCTATGTCGCTCGGATAGTCGGTATAGGAGTCGTCCGTCTCCTGATTCCACATGTCGAAATCTGACCCGTGCTCTTTCGCGCAGTTTGGTTGATCCTCTTCGGTTCGCAGCCTGCGAAATGATAATCCCTTGTCGGAAATATCGGCATCGCAGGAGTAGTAGTAGATCAAGGATGCCCGAATATGTTCGTGGGGCTAAGTGTGATCAGCAAAGTGCAAAAAGTGATGATGACGGTCCTTACCGCCCCCTCTACATGCCAAGAACCCTCATATTCCTGTCCAGGCAGAAGAACGTAGTTGGCAGCCTTTACGATCACTTTTAACTTCTTCCCGGCAAACTTGCTCTTCTCCTGTAAACCGCCCAAGCCAGTTCCTTGCTTCTCCCACTCCATTTCATCCTTCATGATGCGTTCCCGTTCCGCTCGGGTCTGATTCTCTAGTGATTTCTCCTTCTTTTGCTCTTCAATTTTTTCTTGCAATTTCTTTATATCACCACTCTGCCGCTCCTCTGAGCGCTCCTCCCATCTTCGGAAAGAGGGGGACGTCTCATACTTCCACTGGTAGAACATCGACTCCTCGATTTGTGGAAGAGCGAGCTCGAATAATCTCTCCAGAGCTTTGTACAAAGCGGGATGTTCGAAACGTGGACCAAGAGCGTTGATAGGCGAGTCAATGGTAACTTTCCCTTCGTCTGAGATGGCAAAGAGGGATGGAAGCCTGGGATACTCTTTAGCTGGGTGGGTCAGGAGACGGCCCAAACTCACCACGCATATGTACTCTTATGCTCCGTCATGCCTTCGCTGTACTCGTCAACGGGATAGCGTGTGACAGTCTGAAATATCTCCGCGTGATTGAGGGGATGATGAGTGTCGAGGATTCGAGTTATGCCTCGGACATAAGGATCTGCTCTGGTTTGAGGAACCTTCACTGGATCCAGAACTGCCACTCACATAACGAAGGATGGATCAAGTCCTGCACCTTGCCATCACTCCCAGGATGGAAATCCTTCACTCCCACATCCGCCAACCTGTTTAGCTCTCCCTCCAAAACACGATGCAAACTGGGCGGAACAAGATCGTCTGCAGTCCGTACTCCCACATGCTCCTTCAATGCCGGTTCTCGGACTGCATACTTGAATTGCCTCATACGCTCGCGTGCTGCTTCAATATCGGCATCGATCGCGGTCCAGTCATATGTATCGGCGGGTATGTTTATCTCGTTACGGATGACGGGATCGAGCGATAATATGCGCGATGCCTCGCGCTTGAGCTCTCTGCGTGGCCGTCAATGGAAGAAAAGAGAAACCAAACTGGAACGCACCTTATGGTACGATCCACATCGTCCGGGTCGATTTGATGGAGCAACTTCCCTTCGTTCGCCCATTTCTGGTCCACCCCGCGTTGCTCATCAAGCAGCTTTACAGGCCAGTTCTGCTTAGCTCTGATCGCGGCTGCTAGGGCTAACCCTCGTTGAGAATGAGTTTGCGTCATGTTCGGTTATTCGTGATGATCTAACTACTCCAAGGTGTGCGGAGGGCAAGCATAGACTGGTTCTGTGGAGGAAAATGCCAAGACATGGTGTTATTGCCTGGTCGTCAAGGTCGCATATCAATGCAACGGAAGTTCAGGGACCGTGTCACTCTTGGCACGCAGAACGACGAGCATGTCAGCGACATATCGACCAACCACACTTGATAAACTAACCAAGCGACGGTGTACTGTTCTGCCATGAGAGCCTGTTTGACCAGGAGACCTTCATATCGACCTCTATAAAATTTCCCCAGTCCATGCTGAAAGACCATGATCCGCATGCGGTTCAGATCGCTGTCACATTCCAATCTCTTGAACTAGCGGCCTGACAACCATACGATCCTCACATCCAACATCCCGACGGACATGCATTGAAATCTGTATTCAGTGGTCCGACTAGTCGGATGTGACAGGCATAACAACTGGACTTCAACTGCAGCTGTTCAACACAAGCACACCTTCGATCACAACCTCGACAGTTTAGGTGTACGACCGTATGCTGCATAATCGGTTATTAAAGAGATGGGCAACGGTCAAAACCTGGACGATAATCTTACTCAGATCTATGTGCAAGTCCTGCCGAAATGGTCCGCATCAGTAGCTTCAGATCGAGATCGAGCATCATATCCATGTCTCAACGGAATTATATCGCTCGCATAACGTTATATTGAGCTGAACAACCGTCCACGCAAACTCGCTCTGCAAACCGACGATCTTGTTGTGATCAATGGGTAGGTGGGAGGACACGTGCCACTCAACATGAAACCGTAATTCCATGATGTTCCGTACTCTCAGCCCGTCCTGCTCAACACATCGTTTGGACAGTCTTCAATCTCACCAAATCAAATGACTCCCATCAGACGAGAATGCTCAACATGTCAGCCACAGAGAAGGGCAAGCTTTGGATTCCAATATGTGTTACGAAACCACATCAGGGTTTGAAACTGTATAGGTCACTGTCGACTTCGCGTTTCATCTGCTGCGGTCGGTGCAACCCTAGGCTTGACTCACGCGACATCAGCATGGGTGTTCGTACGACTAAGGTTGAACAACACTGCATCTAATCACCCATAATCGATCCATGAACACAGGATTTGACAATGCACGGCTTGTTCATTACCAAGGGCATTGGCGTTGTCCCAACCTTTTTCCGACTGGCAGAGACTCGTTCAACACCGAGCGCATCGGAAAACCTCTTGCTGGTTCACATGAGCAAGGTCCATTCTGATCTACAGATCAACGCAGCACTGAACAAGCAGTGTGACCTTGTCAGGTCACATAACGCCCAAACGCAACGATATTGCTGACCTCTCACTGTCGGAACACTCCGTTCCGACTTCAACCAGTCGCTCTCACTGCATTCCAACAGACTAACATGCTCTTGGGATATAAAGGCAAGATAATGATGCTTAGAAGCGGCCATCAACAACTACAGCGCAGGTCGCTTCCATCTGAAAATCGACAAAGTCGCCGGCGACGCAAAATTATACGCACTCTCACGAAGCCGACCTCAAGCATCTCCATCATGCGTTCTTTCATCCTTCTCTTCCTGGCCTCCATTCTCGCCGTCGCTTCTGCTGCTCGGATGTCTTGCGCCAACCAAGGTTTGCTGAAGAAGCCGAAGCCGCCTCGATTGGGCCCAGGGTGAGCCAAACCGTTCTTCTGCATCAGACAGAGTTCTAAAACTGCTCGATTCTTTCAGCTGTGATCCGTCACGATCCAAGGGGTTTGTGGCCAGTCACAACTGCCCTGGTCGTGCTTATCTCTGTGTTATTGGGGGGGTTGCAACCTGTTACGAGGGCAAGTCGATCGTCGGTCGATTGACAGCCGAGAACGGCGAATGTTTCTTGTAGAGGAGTCGACGTCGCCATCGGGGAGAGTTCAGCACGGCATATAATGTGATTAGAAGACGCCCTGATTCTTATGTACAACGGTTCACAATAGACGAATGAGAGGTTACAATTTGGCAAACTGAGTCATGAAAGGAAGACTATATGTGACCTCAGGCAGAGTTTCCGAAAATAGATCAAAGGGCCCTAAAGGACACGTGACAAGTGCATCACCTGGGTCAAATCAGACATAGACAACCGCTTCGCGCACCCCTGGGCCGGAAGTGCGGAGGCAGACGTGTGGACCGAAGATGCATAACAAGACAAATGTTGCAACTGTCTGTTCACTGTCATGTCACTTGTTGTCTTAGGAAGGATCTGGTACACTTTCCCACCTGGCACCCAATATGCCTGAATCAAGAGACATTGTCTTGCCTCCCTTATCTAAGGGGGCAGCCCAGACCATGGTATTTGGTTCCCCAGAGAACTTCAGTGCAATTTTGCAGATCATCATGTCAGAATGCCTTGGGGCGAAGGAGCCAGCAGACTGGATGCAAGTCCATATGGCGTGAACAGTGGAACCATGCTAACTGGTGCAGATTGGAGCTCAGTGATGGGGATTGGATGTTCAGGATGACAGCAGGACTGAAAATACATCTGTCCTGGAATGTAGGAACTTTGAAGCTGTACAACGTGATCAAAGTGACCACATACAGGCAATGGGTACCTTGGGGTTTGAACAAGAGGTAAGTAAGTATGTGAACAGCATACACACACATGCTTACTGGGGCAAGTGATATTGTGGTGCAAGACTATGGCAAGATGGGCTCAGCTGGCACATTGTTGAAAAAGCCAAAGAAGATGAGCATGGACATTACACCTGATGTCGACCATGGAGTGCTTGGTAGTCAGGCCCACTGGGCGCAAGCTGCACCCAGCCAGTACCACCTGCCTGAACAAGAACACATGAGAGCCAGCAAGAGATGGCTGGACATCAGGGAGGTGCTGTCAGCAGCAGCTCTTGAAGCAGTGCAATGCATGAGCATTGCCTTGGCACCAGTTGCTGTCCCTGGGTTGAGGAGGCTGCCTAGGCTCTCCACTGCAGATGGACTAACTCGTAAGTGGGTGACTGATGTAAAATTGGGTTACCTGAGTCAGTATAATGCACTTCTGCAAGACATGGATAACTGACCCAGTGCAGGTTTGCCATCAATGTGAGGGTGTGGGAAGTCAAGGAGGAGAAACAGGCAACAGACAGGAAATGGAAGAGGTCATGGGTATTGGTGATCTTGCTTGATCTAATGGTGAGCAAAATTCTCTTGACATCCTGTGTAAGACTGACCTAGCACAGGCAGAAATTTTGATTATTGTGTTCAGTGCTCAGACATTTCGCATATGTTCACTGGAGCTGGGAAAGGTGAGGCATGTCATTAAATTGACACAGAATCTTATGCATATTACAGACATACCAAATTGAGTGCACATGTGTTCAAGAGGCAGCAGAAGGATTCTGGCGGGTCCCACATAAGTTCCAACTCATCCTGGAGGAGCATGCTGTGATCACAGAGGTATGTCATGTTATTGCACAAGGCACCAAACTGAATGAGAGCAGATCCATGACCCTAGCATCCCACACATTTTTTTCACCTCCCGATACCTCAATACTTTTGAGAGGTTGCAGGTGAACGAGATCATCAGTAAGAAGCGCAGATGTTGCGCAAGATGAGTACTGATAGTCCTGTCAGATGTTCTTGCTGTTGTGGTTCACGTTGGTTGGGTCATGAAAGGAGGTCCTGTGAAAACTGGGTGCATGGAGTGAGTGAGTTGCCCAGAGCATGCCTCAATGTAACTGACATGGTGCAGGGTTTGCAGGTTGCCTACACAAGCTGCTGGGACATATGGCTGGTGGACAACTCGAAGGTTGCAATCAGGCTCTGCATGTTTGACCTGTTCCAGAACATGTTCAAACAAGCTGAGAACAGGGTGATCAGAATCAAGGGTGTTGTTGTTGACATGCTGGATGGGCCTTGCTTGAAGACACAGAAGGGACACATATGGTTCATTTTTCAAGACAGGAATCTGGGGTACAAAAGGCTCATGGAATGGTGTGCATGGTGAAACAATGCAGAGTTTGTGTGACTAACTTGCACCAGGTACAAAGACGCTGACCCAAAGGAATGGCAAACAATCACTGGGTCATTCTCAGCAGATGGGTTTCCTGAAAGTGACATCACAATACCCAATGAGACCATCATGATCAAAGCAGTGCAAGTTCCCAAGCTTGGGCTGACGTTGAAGAAGACATTCAAGGTTATCACAAAGGTACTCATAGAGGACTACAAGGATTACTTATATGAGGATTGTCCATATGAAGACTGCAATAAGAAAACTCCAACTGGCAATGTGTATGTTTGCCCTACATGTGACATGCCATACATCATGCCAGGAATCAAGTAAGTTCACACACTATCTGTCATGATGTATCCAACATTGCACCAGGTTCAGATTGAATGTTGAGATCGAAGATGAAATGGGGAAACAATGGGTGAACACATTCAATGGTGCATGTATGGGGCTTTTCAAGCAGTCAGCTCTGCAGATGCATACCTGGCAAGATTCAAAAGAGGCAACCACAATGGTATTTATAACCCTGTGCAGGATGCTGACTTTAACACAGACAAATTGATTCTGCCAACAGAATATTCTTCCTATACCATATAAGAAGTATGCTATTGTCATTCACCACAAGTCAGATGAGTTTGGCAAGAAGAAGGGTCACCCAACGTGGATTGCATTGAAGTTCATAGAGATGTCAGTGGTACTGGTGGTTTGAATGTCAGTGTAATTCATGAATGTAGCCTACATACAATGCATGCATAATGTTTGTAACCTGTACAAAAATATGCACAAGGTGTTAGTCTATGTTTACCTAATGAATAATGAATGATTCATGTTGTGTACATACACCAGCATGGAAAGATGCAATAAGTTTGGCATTGTCAGCATTGATGGCTCTCTCAATGTGTAAGTCTTTGATGGCTTGCACGAGTTCATGGCAAAGTTGGACCACCTCCTGTTGCAGAAGCTGCACTCAGTTCTCCTTGTCTGCAAGCATTGAATGTTACACAAGGAGGACTTCATCTTGCGGCAGGAGAATACCAGGGATATCATCAGTGTTGATGCATTGCACGTGGTGAGGCATCACAGTGTGCAGCTGAGCAGGCAGAGTGTCATCCAGCACATTGTCAACATCTTTGATGTCCTCACCACTGTCTTCTGAAATGTTGTCTCACAGGTTCCTTGTCCAAGTTGCACTGGCACTCATTAAGAAACAGATGAGGAAGGGAAACAGGGAGCAAACCTATTCAAAACCAGTGAGACATGGCAGCCAGGTGAGGGGGAACCTTCAACCACATGTGTGGGTTGAACATTCAACTCGTTACCAGAAGCAGAAGCAGAGCAAGATGCCATGTAGATATGATTTCTTTCTATGGTGCAGTTGTGCAGCATTTGGTCCATAACACCCTAGAATAACATGAGAGCCAATCATGCACCTGAGAGAGAAACAGACACATGGCAGGAAGAGCATGGCCACCATGGGAGAATGGTGGAAAGGTGCCAACAGCAGTATTGGGATGAGGGAAAGACAGATGATGCCAGTAGGCTGGATGATCAAGCACATGATCCACTGGATCTGAATGGTTGGATGCCATTGTGAGACAGGAAGATTGATGGGAACACAGGAACAACAAGCGCATGATCACCATAAAACATCACATGATCAATGTGCATGATTTGTCAGGATGATGTCTGTACACAATTGGTTAAACATAGCACATGATGAATTTGAATTCAGGTGCATGATAATGACATGCAGAAGGGGGAGATTACAAGATATAAGTAGCATCCTCTTCTTCCGGTTCTAGCACCTCATGAAGAATGGAAACAGATTGCAACTGAAAGGACACCATCCAAAATTGTTTGGCTTTTGGAATATCTGATTCATTGTTGTTGAATTGCTTTTTGATGCACATTTTGGACAAAACAAGATCCCCCTGGTGCAATTTCAAGGCCAAGTAGTGTGGCATTTCCTTTTTCGACTTGAACACAATTGATGCATCATATGCTGCTTTGAATTCAGTGGGCTGAACACATCGCATATCATTCTGGCATATGACCTGGTGCCAGAAGCTTACTGGATCATCAGACTGATAACATCACATGAACTTATTCACAATGATGGTACCAAACAGATTCAACAAGCAATCTGCCCATGATGTGAGCAAATGCTGTTCAAAGAGCAGCTAATAGCACACCTTGTGTCAGATTCAAATACACATTTGCCACCCTCATGGTTGCAAGGAAATCTTCTTTGTAGAGCAGTTGGACACTCAGGTATACTTGATTGGGCCATGTGCCATCTTCACTGATGAATTTTGCTGCAATGATGCACCCAATCAACCAAGTAGTGACAGTGACATTATCTGGTCAAGCGAGGAAGTTTGTCATGTCAAGGGATTGGTCAAAACCAAAAGAAAGGTTATCTGGGAGTTGAGAAACATAATAAAGACTGTGCACACAGTCTGAATGTTCCTGTATCTTTGCAATACGTCATAGTAAGGTTGTATCATATTGAATTCCCACATTGTTGTCCAGTGAACTGTCTTTTTCCGTAGAATTGGATGAATGATCTTGCACATGGTCTTCTGTAGTCATAGGGTTTTTGTGGCAAGTGCTGGGAACAATCAGTTGTGGACAAAGCAGTGGGGGTAAACTTGCCATTTCTTCCTGGCATTGTGTTCAACTGCACATGGGGTTTCTTTGCATTTACCTGATGACATGGCATGAGAAAGAAGAAATGGAACTGAGGGTGGTCCATGGTTGAAGAGTGTCAAGTATTTATGGGGTGTGGAAGGCAGGAGTGAAGACAACCAGCCATGGATGGCTGCTTTGTGACAGCCAGCCTCATGTTGAACAGCCCTCTTCATCCCATCATGTGGTCAACACATGGGTACTGTCAGCCTCCCAAGGTAGTAGTTCATATTGATGTTCCATTTCATGAGCAAGCCTTTCCAGCCTTCCAAATTCATTTCAAAGATCAGAAGGAGGGTTCTTGTACAGCATCTTGTCTGAGAATGGGCACAAGATCACCAAACCAGACAGTGTTCGCAATCATGACAGCATGACATACAAGCTCTGTGGGGATCTGCACCCACAAAGATCAACAATTGCATGGTCAAGTGATCAGCCCTGGCATTTGTAATTGGTGTATGAATATGCAGGCAGAAAGGGAAGCATGAGTCTGCTTATTGTGTGTGATAGCATATTTTCATTGGTGCAGGATATGTACTTGAAGCTTTGTCAAATGGGTTGGATGCACACAATGTTGGAACCTAATCCAACATGTGTGAAATCACTGGCCAGCATTTGTACCATGACTGCTGTAGCATAATGCCAATTGCACTCATCAACCGTATATTGTATCCCAGTAATGATGCCTGTAGCTCCATTCACTAGAGTTTTTGACAGGGCCAAATTTTCCATAATCATGACACAAGCACCTTTGAACAGAGGCATGAAACCCAGAGCATCTTCTGTTTGATTTGATGAAAACATCCATAGCACATCTTGTCCTGCACCCCTGAGAGTGTCATTCTTTCTGAAATCTTGTGCAAAGTACACATGACATTGTGTATTCAAACAATGAGCATGTTGTACAGCAAGGCAAAAGTTAATTGCATCACACATCATTTTCATGGTGACAATAAGGTGGCAAATCTGGACTGTTGGTCTCATGCAATGTTTCCAAACATCTGGCATGGAGTACATCATAGTCTGATTTGCTGTACCAAACTTCTTCTCATGGAACTGAGGAAGGTATGGGTGACTTTCTGTCCCATGCACATCCCATTCAAATGTGGAACAACAGGCCTGCTCAAGCAATATCTTGATTTTGGCGCACATTCCATTGCAGGATGACCACTTCTTTCACCTGCTTCCAGTACCAGGTGCCTAGTAGTGCATCTTGGCCCTTGTTTGATTGGCTTGTTTGTGGCATGATCTGACGGAGTAGTTGGTGGCTGTAATGCAGAGCTGCTCCTTTCAGTTGCCCAAAGTCACCAGTGAATAGAACATTGATACCACCAAATGGTGCATTGTCTGGCGCCTTTTTCCCAATCTGGATCTGGTCAGATATCTGGCACATAAATTGTGCGGAGATCATGGAGACTTCATTGATGATCAACCATGACACCATGCACCAGATTTCTTCCAGGTAGCCAACATTTTCCTTTGTTCCGAGCTTCTTTGGCAATTTCATTAAGGAGTGGATTGTATACCCTCCAATGACAATGGCTGATGCACCTGTTGGTGCACTGAGCAACAAGGAATGCTGGAGCTTCAACAAGGTGAATAGCATTTCAATGCTCTTGATGACATGACTTTTCCCTGTTCCTGCACCACCACCAATGTACAGAAACAGCTGCTGTAACCAAGCACCAGACAGATGATTGGCAATGATCCTCATGGCTCTCCTTTGTTTGTTGTTTCCCAATAAATTCTGTTTTTCTTTGACCGAGTGCAGGATATCATATATGTTGATGTGGGTGGATTCTTGAGTGTGATGATACAGATCACTTGGCACAGTTATACATCTGATGTCATATGTTGTGTTGATAGTAGAATGTTGATATGCAAAGGTTGTTGTGTCAGATACATGATTCTTCTTCCATGTGACTAGATCATCCACAAACCTTTTCAGAATAATGTCATCTTGTGCCATGTGGGGATGAGTGTTGGCACAATTGCCTGTGAAAGATGGCACAAGAAGATTGCAACCATGCAAACTTTGCAAGGCATTCTCAGATACGAACTGATCCAAGAAATCTTGCATTGACTGCAGGGAGGAAAATGAGTTTTCATCAATGCCATCCTCCAAATCTTCACCATGCACTGGATCATTGACTGGTATTGGAAGTTGTAATAAGTCAAGATGTTCTTCAACAGATGGTGCATGCACATGGTTGGCAAGGGCAGCATGCCTCCTCCAAACCCGTACATCAACATTGTGGGCCTCCTTGGAGTCAGACATAATTGACATGTTTTCCACCAATCTTTTATGTCGTGCACACAGACAAAATCGGCAAAACAAAGAAATCCCATCTTCACCAGGCACCAGGAGATCATGAAGATTTCAAAATGGTTTAAAGAAAATCAGTACAGAGCAACACCACTCTGATGAGCAATTTCCCTTGCCACTGTCCTTTGGAAAGGTCAGACCCACAGGATTTGTGGCCATGCACCGGGAATGCAATTTGATTTCATGCATCTTGTGCTGAGGATGGTGCTCCGTCAGGCAGCCTCATGGAAGCCGCACTCCAGATCTGCCTGAACTGGAAGGAGTAGCATCAATTGCATTGCCCTCCCCAGAGCTGAGCCTTTGTTTCTCTGTACAGCATACAAAATCCCATAAACACATACAGTCAAAGACTTCATGCTTTGGACGACATGTATAATCTTGATACTGACTTGATGCTGTTATGCCTTCATGGGAGATGGACAAATTCATGCCACTTTGTGCTGTCATCTTCTAGCATGATGTCAGAATCATCTTCATAATCGTCATTGGTTTCAGTTGACATAGAACCCAATTGCTTGTCTCCAGTGCAGGTTGAATCATGCATGTCTTGTAGCTCCAAACTTGCGACAACCCTGGAAATGTAGCCCCAATGCAGAGTGGCAAACTTATGCATGGTGTAGTGGTCGCCACCACCAACATAGTAACTCATTACCTGCTGGTGGGACCACTCTTGTTCTGTGCCCAACTGTCAGGGCACCAGCTCATTGCTTGGTCAAGAGACATGACTAAGCCTTTATGACATGGAAGTAGCTGGTATACCTTGGCATGTGCTGGAACCTGCTGGAAGGATTGGATGGTCAGGTGACCTGCTGTGCATGGCTGTGCATGACCTCATATGACCTCATCCTTGGTCATATGACCTGATCACCTGACTAGGCTGAGTAAGCAAGATGTTCTAGCAGGTTCCACCACAGAGGTATAAATATAAGGCCTACTCTGCCCGGGACTGTCTCTTCAGACTTGGTCTCTTAGGATCATCCACAGGTACCTATACTGTAGATAGGTCTTAGTCATCAGGTCTACTCCACTTCCTTGTTGCCTGCTTAGACTCTTGGCACTCTTAGGTGAGCAGACTTAGTCAGCCTGTGTTGCCCTAACAGAAGACCAAGTCTCAAAGTGACAACCTCTGCTTCACACTCCACCTCTACTCTTACCTGCCTTTACTC